ATTTGCTTATTGACCTTAGTAAATTTTGAATTTTTTATCTGACCTATATATATATTGTTCGGGGTCCTAGCAGATCTGTGCAGATTTTCAGAAATTATTTCTGCGCAGATCTTATACCCTGGCGCAAAACATTAGAGGAAAAATCCAATAAAAAACTGCACAGATTTTATAAATAATAAAATTCTGCGCAGATTTTTAAATGAAAAACCTTCGAAATACCTCAGCAATTTTTTTCAGTAAAAATCTGCATCACAATAATACAAATTAATTTATTGCATTAATTACTAATTTATTTATATAATCAAAATTACTTTTTTATTATATATTAACAAGTTTACAAATACAATTGAAATCTATTACTAGTCATTACTATTCATTATCTCTTTACTGTACATTTACATGATGTTAATGGTTTGGAACATTGTTCCAGTTGGTTCAATTCTAACAAACAACGGAAACCTACAAATGAAAAAAATTTTTTGAAGCAAGCAGCTTCAAAATTTATAATCCAGCAGTCCAGGATCTAAACATAAAAGAAACGATCATTAGTATAACGATCATTAAAAAATAGAACTTTAAAGCATTTACCTTTGAAGTTCTTAAATACTTTAAAGTTCTTCATAATGGAAAACTGTAACCTAAAATAAAAGAAAAAAATGAACATTGGTATAACATTCGTTAAAAAAAGCAAAACAAAAAAAGAACTTCAAAGTGTTTACCTTCGAAGTTCTTCACTATTACAGTTCACTGTCCTAAGGACTTTCAGCCAAATGTAAACCTGAAACCTAAAATAAAAGAAGAATGAACGTTAGTTCACGTTCGCTAAATAAAATTAATAAAAAAAAATTTTATTTGAAGGAATACCTTCGAATTCCGTCTAAGAAGCGTCCAGAAAGCCGAGAATCTACAAAAAAAAAATGAAACGTTAGCTAACGTCTCGTTAAATAAAATAAAAAAAATACAGAATTTCAAAGTTTTACCTTCAAAATTCTGTCAAGAAGGCGCCCAGAAAGCCATGGACTTATAAAAGATAAAAAATCAAAACGTTAGCCAACGTTTCATTTAATTTTTTTAAAAAAAATATAAAAAAAATTAAAAAAATTTGAAGGTACCTGTATTTACCTTTGAAATTCTGTCCAATCCAGATGACGATCAGAAAACCTTAAATTACAAAAAAAAGATAAACAAAACGTTAGTAAACGTTTCGTTAAACAAAAAAAAAATATAAATATAATTTCGAAGATATTTACCTTTGAAATCCCTCCTCTTATTCCTTACATTCCAAGTCCGGTTCATCCAAAAAAGCCCGGCAACCTATAAAATGAATAAAGAACGTTAGAAACATTCTTTTATAAGAAAAAAAAATTATAAAGTTTCACAACAAAATGTTGCGAAATTTACCCTTTATCCGTTTTAGGAACCTTCGAAGTACCAAAACTACAAAAAAAAAGAAAAAGAAAAATGAAACATTAGCTACGTTTCGTTTAAATAAAAACAATGAAAAAAAACAGAATTTCGAAGTTTACCTTTGAAATTCTGTCCAAAAGGAGTCCAAAATGCCGTGTTCCTACAAAATACAAAAACAAAATGTTAGAAACGTTTCATTAAATAAAACAATAAAAATTTTCAAAGTTTACCTTCGATATAGAAGTCCAGAATTCATTTACAGCTTCCTTTAACTAAAACAAAAGGAAATGAACGTTAGTACATTCATTATATTAATTTAAAAAAAAATAATTTTTTTTTTCAAAGGTTTATCTTCGATATGGAAGTCCGGAATTCATTTTCGACTTCCTTTAACTAAAACAAAAATAAATGAACGTTAGTTTAACGTTCATTATATTAATTTAAAAAAAAATAATTTTTTTTTTCAAAGGTTTACCTTCGATATGGAAGTTCGGCTTGTAATCGGCTTCCTTTAACTAAAACAAAAATAAATGAACGTTAGTTTAACGTTCTAAAAAAAAAATTAATTTTTTTTTTTCGAAGGTTTATTTTACCTTTGATATAGGAGCCCGGAACTCAGTTTCAGCTTCCTTTATCTAAAAAAAATAAGACGAAATGTTAGTTAATGTTCGTCAATAAAGTTAATAAAAAAAAATATTTTTTTTTTCGAAGGTTTTACCTTCAAAGTAAAGTCCAGAGCCATTCTTTGGCATCCAGGACCTAAAAAATAATAGAAATGAACGTTTGTAACGTTCGTTGAAATAAAATTAAAAAAATATTTTGAAGGTAAACTTTACCTTTGAAATAAACATCCAGAGCCATTCTTTGGTGTCCAGGACCTATAAAATATAAAAACGAACGTTTAGTAACGTTCGCTAAATAATAATTAAAAAAAAATCGAAGGTAAAGATTTTACCTTTGAAATTAACGTCCAGAGCTATTCTTTGGCGTCCAGAACCTATAAAATATAAAAACAAACGTAAATTAACGTTCGTAGGTATAAATAAAATAAAAAAAATTTGGAGGTAAATTTTACCTTCAAAATAAATGTCCGGAGCCGTACTTTGGCGTCTAGGACTTAAAAAAAAATAAAAAATGAACGTTTGCAATGTTCGTTAAATAAATAAAGTTATTCAAAAGTCTTTACCTTTGAAATAAATGTCCAGAGTCATTTTTCAATGTCAGGACCTAAAAACATGAAAAATGAACGTTAGCGACGTTCATTAAACAAAAAGATAAAAAAAAAATTCAAAGGTAAAGGTTTTACCTTCAAAATAAGAGTCTGGAACCATTCTTCGGTGTCCAGAACAAGAAAATAATAAAACCGAACGTTAGACAACGTTCAGTATATAAAAAATATTAGTTTCGAAGTTTTACCTTCGAAATAAAGTCTGGAACTGGAGTCCAGGATGTACCTTTTGTGTTCTAGACTAATAAAACTAATAAAACGAACATTTTCTAACATTCGTTAAATAATATTAATATTAAAGTAATAAATACCTTCAAAATAGAGTACTTTTGGCGTTTTGTAAAATGTATTTTTTGAAAGGAGATAAAAGAGTCTGACATCTTTTTAATCCAAAACTCCTGCATGTTGCAGATTATGTACCGAATGTTAGACGAATTTGCCTTAAAGATTCCGAACCTTACAAATAAATTTTTTTTTTAAAAAAAAATTTCTCTGATAAGCTTCGAAGCTTAAAAAATAATAGAAATATTTTTTTTTTGGAATCTTTAACAGATTATTTCCTAAAAGGTGTTGTAGAAAAAATTATTTCACAAAGTTTTTTTCTTTAGTAATAAGTATTATAGAAAAAATTATTTTTTTAAAGTCTTGTAAAGTTTTTTTTTAAAGAGTATTTATTGTAGAAAAAATCATTTAGGTATTAAATCAAGTTAGAGTTAATCAAAGTTTAAATATTGAATCAATGATAAAATTGCAGATTGAACTGATATTTTAATGAAAAAAAAGCAAAAATCTGCAAAATTGCAGACTTCCGCATAAATTTCACATAAAAAAAAGCAGAAATCTGCAAAATCACAGATTACCGTAAAAATTTATACATAAAAAATAAGAAACTTGCAAAATTGCACAACTTTGTAAAAAATAAAAAGCAAAAATCTGCAAAATCGCAGACTTCCGCATAAATTCACAAAAAAAATGCAGAGATCTGCTAATTTTACAGATCTCTGCAGTTCTGCATCTTAAAAAATTTCCCGATGAAAATTACTATAAATATGTTTTACTTTAAAATATAATTTCACTCCTCAATATATATAT